TCATGAATCATCACAACCAGGCGGAGGGCATGAAATTGAACCCCCTGCTCATCGAACCGCTGCTTCCATTTCGCATTCAGCGCCCGCTGCGCGGGAGCATAGACTGTTGTCCGGACTTCTCTGGCCCCCTTGTTGCTCATTGCCCATCGAATCGTGTCAATGCTGTGTGAAGCTGCATCCACCAGCAAGTGTACATCTGATTGGACTTTTTCGCCAGCTGTGGCGGCCCCACCCGGTCCGACGATCTTGTCTCTCCGCTGCCCAGTTGCAGCAAGGCCTCCCCACTTCACATCTTGAAGATTTTGCCCAAGCCTACTGCGAAAGAGCAGCCTATTTGCGAAAAGCTTCCTGAAAGCGATGACAGAGGTCGGCATCTTGCCAAATGCACCAAGCTTGAATTGCTTAAGCCCTGCTCGGGAAGAAACCGCACGGGCCCTTTCCCTGGCCTCGAAACTACGAAGCTTGATCCTCCAAACACCCGGTTGCCCGCTTGTCTGCAATCGTCGCAAGTCTCTGACACTGCAATGTTTGAGTGTGCCCTGACGTTGAAGAAATACCGCTGCGACTTCTAGAGTGCACTGTCCAACTACATATCTTGGTTCTATGATGCTCTATAGAGGCATTGGTGATGCTCGAGATCTCCACGCCTTCTTCATCATGGAGCTGTTGAGGCTGGTGTGTGAGAGAGGTCGCTCGAACTCTGCCTTGGTCCCAAGCTGAAGGGCTTTCCACAGTAACATCTTTCTTGGAAGCTTTTCAACATTCTTACATCTACATACAGCCCTACAGCGAAGAGGGAGTTTGAGAATTTAATAAGGGCGTGGCAAGGTAGACCAGCACAAGCTGCAACACCACGTTGATCACCATCACGATCTGGGCGAACGCCGTCATTCCGAGAGCTTGTGACACTCCCCTTGCGGTGGCTGCTGAGCAACTCTTACAAGTTTTTCTCCAAGCTCCTTCTTCCAAGGATAACTTTGTCTCATTCTGGTTTGAATGAGAACCTAGAGAGTGGAACGCTGCCTAGAATCATCTACAGTTTCAACAGTTTCCTGTTGGTCCTTGTCAGCTTCTGACACTGACAGCTTTTCTGTCTCGGACCCGCTGCCCTGACCACCTGTATGGTGAGGGCTCGAATTACCAAAACGGTCTTTTAAAAGCGCCGAAAGGAGAGCAACTGCAGCAATGAGGCAATGCAATGCTGAGCTTTCGTACGGCAATTTGGGGCAATGCAGCGAATTCTTCATGCTACGTGTCCCTTAAAGGACTTCGGCCGTGGGCCCTTCCATCCAGGCGACTATAGCACTTCGTCCCGTAGCTTCTCTTTACGCCAAAACGGCTCTAGAAAGCGACACGGAAGTGACCTGGGCCTCGCAACAAATGGAAAGGAGCGGAGCCGAGCCAGTGCGCCGGCTGTGTGGAGAGATGGCCAGAGCAGATATGAAGGCCCTAAGTCAAAGCTGGACATTTTGGGCCCTTGCTCTCTCTGGTTGGGTTGAGGGCTGCCACACAACCAAACGCGGACACCTCAAAAACACCAAGGTCTCATGGCTCGTCTCAGGGAAGCAGAAGGTTCAAAGTCAGGCTGATTCTCCTGGCAGGTGCTGGGCTTAACCCGTGGTCTTTTTCTGATCTGCCTACCTCTTGCAACTGCTTCACGGCCAAAGCTTCTGCGAACTGACTCTGACGCTCACCAACACCCCCGTTGTGCCTGGGAGTCCTCCGTCAGGTCACCTTGGTGGCACAGCGGAAGTTTCTGGCGCTTGTTCCAACTCTTGCTAACTTGAAGAACCTCTACAAGCTCGCATAAACCCTGAAGGGGGTATTCAATAGAACCCTAGAGCAAAAGCCCGTATAGAACCCTTACACAGCCCTCTGGAACCCTAAACCCTAAACCCTAAAACCCTTTTGCTTCACAAAAGCCTTCTTATCCTTGGCTCAGGCACTTGGAAGCCGCAGGGCCGGAGCGTTCCCGACCTCTCGTCCAGAGGCGGCCTCGATGCACTCTAGTAGCCTGGGCTAGGTTCTTTTCATAGTGGTTTAGGGTTTAGGGTTTAGGATTGAGGGGTTTGGGGTTGCTAGGTTCTTTTCATAGTGGGTTTAGGATTGAGGGGTTTGTGGAGGGCTTCTTTGTGGGGGTTCATGGTTTCGGGTTTCTGTGTTTCGAGATATGGTTGAGTTATAGGGGTGTTGTGTACAGTGTCGGGCTACGGGGGAGGGCCGGGCAGGGTTTCAATTTTACTGTTTGGTTTAAGGTGTGGGATTTCGGATGTCGGGGCAGGGCCGTCTGCTGAAACCCTAAAGGCCAGCCGTCTTGTCAGGGCTGATATGGCTTAAGGTGCAGCGATTGGGGTTTCACGATCTTGACATCACTTTAGGATCAAGGGTCCTGCTCCTAGCCTCAAGGAAGGTATGATATCATAGAGTGAGTTGGCCTGTAGAGGTCTCCTTGAGTTTTGCATGGATTCATGCCCGGAGAGGGTCTTGACTTTGTCCGGGAGTGCATGGCCGTGGAGACCCAGGCATACAGGGCTTGCCTACGTGTCCTGCATGGATCTCGTGCTGGATTTAGTGAGTTTAGGCTCTGATTGAGGTTTCTGCAAATGGTCTTAGAACTGATCGATCGGACGCGGAACCTAGGCCTCGACGTTGGAAATTTATGAGAGAAGGAGGGAAAAAGAGCTTTCTAAGAGCAGCCAAGTGGCGCCGAACAGGTCTGATTCCAGTCCGTCGGCCGGTATCGCTGCAGCTCCACGCTGAGGCCTGGCCGAGATGATCCCTGGACCCCTTCGTAGGTAAGGGTTCGATAAGGTTTAGGGTTTAGGGTCTAAACCCGAAGCCCCAGAATCCCTCAACCCTAGACTTTAACAGCCTCAAGCGCCCAACACTTCCCTAACCCCTAAACCCCTAAACCCCTAAACCCCTAAGCTTGCCTCAACTCCCTCCGACAGAAAGCCACTTCTTCAGAGAACCCCCGGGCTTGGTCTCTCGGCCTTCCAGGGACAGCAGGAAGTTGTGGAGCTTCTCCTGGGCGCTTAATTTCAGTTACGTACCATCAACAGAAACCCTATGATTTTAGAAAGTTCATTGAAGCTACCATATAGTAGGGATCTACAGTAAAATTTATTATAGATCCCCTTTTTGGCAGCTTCCTTTAAACTAAAAACCCCTAGCAAAAGCCCAGGTCTCGTCGCCCTCCGACTCGGCCCCGGGGCCCGAGATCACCCGGCGCGTCAGGAAGTCCCGGTCCGAGCGGTCCGAGGCTCGCAGCAGGGACTTCTGCACCTCTCTGTTGTTCAGCCCGGTTTAATGAGTTTAAGGGTGTTAGGGTTTATAAGGGGTTTAGGGTTTTAGGGTTTTAGGGTTTATAAGGGGTTTAGGGTTTAAGGGTTTTAGGGTTTATAAGGGGTTTAGGGTTTAAGGGTTTTTGGGTTTATATGGGGTTTAGGGTTTAAGGGTTTTAGGGTTTATAAGGGGTTTTAGGGTTTAGTGTTTAGTCACACCATGCAAAGGGGGAGGGCTTCTTTGTGAGCTGAATACAAAAAGGGGTGACAGGTTGCAATAGCCCTTACAGACAGTAGCCCTTACAACAGAATTCTTAATACCCCTTAAAAACCCTAAACCCTAAACCCTAAATTAGACATAAATAAGATTAGCAAGCTTCAAGGCTCCTGCCTCTTGGAAGCCTTGCTTCAGCTCGGACAGCCGGCTCGAAAACTCCGCCTCCTTGCCTGCAGCTCGGTCCTCGCCGTGCTCCTCCTTTTCCTTGGCCTCTGCACATTCTGCAAACCTGGGCTCTTACGACTGCCACAAGAAATAATCAGCTTTCCTTACAATATTCACTTTACGTCGTGTTCCGCACAAGTCGTAGAAAGCCCTCTCGTTATGGTAGCTTAAGTATATGTAAACACAATCCGCAACTAAGAAAAAACACGAAAGCTGATTTAAGCAACTCTTCCGTTCTGGCACATTCGTATTCGGATATAGAAACTCCCTGACTCCTCACACCAAGCCTTAACTTCTGGTAGTTCAAATACCCTAAACTATGGATTTAACATACCCTAAATTCCCAGCTTATGGTTTCTCCATCTAATTTCAAAGCCCCAGAAGCTGGTGGGGCAGGAGCTCACGCAGGAGACCGGACTGGCTCGGAGCTCGCAGGGCGTTCAGAAGCACCAGCCGGGGCAAAATCCTGAGATTCATTGATCAAACGCCCGTAGCAGTGTTCAGGGTTTAAGGTTGAGGGTTTAGGTTTCAGGTGTTTTTGTTAAACACCTTTTTCCGTCGGTTAGAGTCTCTAACTTCAGGAACCCACCTTGTGGGAGGCTTGCCAGTCCGCAACCCTAAAGGTTTCAGGTTCAGGGATTTGTGTTTAAGGTTTAGGGATCAAGGCTTTATATAGGAGCTGGGGAGCTCTTGTAGAAGCTTCAATAGGAGCCCTTGTAAGGCACAGAACCCTTCAAAGGAACCAGATTTCAGCTTTAGGCTTTTGGGCTTAGGTCTTCGGTTGGTGAGTGTAGTAGACACGCAGAGTTTCCGGTATGGTTCTTTATGATGCACTTGCTCAAGAAGAAGAATTTCCGTAACCTCGTACGCAGCATGCGGGATGCCAGAGAGCAGGGCCTCTTGAGACTGCATCTAACATACTGCGGTGCAGTTAATCGAACCCCTAAAACTTTCGAGGCTGAGGCCAGGAACAATCCAGCCCACTAACTATTATGCACCTTGAGCAGTACGTTGTATGCTCGTCGAAAGCTCATGAAGGACACAGTTTTTCGGAGATACTGGCATACCTGCACCTTACGACTTGAAGCGTCTTCTCTCCGCCTGAGGCAACCCAGTCTTGAACCCCAAGCTACTTAAACCACGAAGTCTTCAATCCTCAGCTCCCTTATTGTAACCCCATAGTGGCCTCATGGAAGCCTGATAGAAGACCTTATAGCAACTTATCCCAAGCTCCATATATCCGAGGAGCAGGAAGAGCTCTGCGTCCCGGGTGTCAATGAGCCGGGGCAGAGAGGGAGCGAGTCGCTGCGCGTCCTTACAGTGAGTATCAGAACATATTTTAAATAGATAAAAGAGAGAGATATATATATATATATACATATGGACCTATAATATATATATATATATATGTAATTATAATATGGCTTAATGGCTTGGGGTTTCGGGAGTAGAAATCGTGTGAGATCTCCTGCCTCACCTCAGTCTAGATTGCAGGGAGACATGCTGCACACTATAGTTGCCGGCTACTATGTGTCTTGCAACTATGCTCAACACCAAAAGCAACTCTTCCATGAGCTTGCCAGGCATCCAGCGTCATCGCAGCGCAGCTGCTGAAGCATTGCAAAACATCCTTCTTGAGGAGGGAGCGGTTGCCTGGCTATGCTTCGAACGAAGTTTTGCCCTGATTCCTCCCCACGGTCTCTTGAGGTCAGCGGGGCTTAAACAATTAGATTCCTAGTTTCGGGTTTATATGCCATTTGGACTAAACTCCAACCCAGACTCCACTACCCCAACTAATTAAGAAAAAAACCATCGAGGTATGGGATATCAGGAATCTCACAACGGCCCAGATCCCAGATCTCTCTCCTCCCTTCTAAGCAAATGGCTATCGAACCCTCCATGGTCCCCTGATCCTTTTCTGGGGCCTAGTTCCCAGGCGACTTCCCAGGCGGCGAGGGCGTCCACGAGCTTCCGGTTGTTGCAAAGCTGCGGATCCACCTGAACTCCCGAGCTGGCTGAAAAATGATGCTGCCAGTGAGTGAGAGCGAGCCAGCGAGAGAGAGAGAGAGAGAGAGTGTGTGTGTGTGTCAGTTCGATCTGACACCCTGGCACATTTCTCGGTGGTTCTGCTGATGTGACTGAAACTCTCACACCTTTCCGGTAGGGGCACCTCCTTCCAGATGTCGGTGATGGAGCCCAAATATTTGCGAAGGTCCGCAAAGTGTTGTAGCACGCGGCTGGACAGTACACGCTGCACTTTGCAGTGATAGGTCCTTGGCCAACGTCTGTGAAGACCCGATATACCAAACGACCTAGTGCATTGGCAGCTTCTAGTCTTTCGTCGAAATCCAACTCCATTGTGGCTCGGGAACCCTGAAGCAACCTTCGCCACTCTCTGAGGCTTTATGAGTAGGGGCCTTAATAACTAGAATAGGATTATACGATAATTACAACAAGGAGCCCGCCAAAAAAGTATAGGCAACTATTCAGGCCCCTATGTTACATACGCCCACTTCTACCATCCGGTGCTTCCAGGCGTCTCAAGCTCGTTACTGGGCTTCATAGACATGGCCAGAGCCCAACGATCTGCTGCCGCCACGAGGACGTCCACACTCAGGTCGTCTCCTGACAGGTCGAAACCGCACACCTCATGTGCAAGGAGCTAGTTAGTGTTCTTTATGTAGGCATAAGACTATATTGATTCTATACCTACAGTATATCTATCTATCCATCTACCCTACCTACCTACCTACCTACCTACCTACCTACCTACCCACCTACCTACCTACCTACCTACCTACCTACCTACCTATCTACCTTGTTGTGTTTTCGGCAATGTAGTTTTGCATACATAAGATAGAGTGTGTGACTGTTTATGTACACCGGCTTTGTCGTTCGAGAATTCATCCGAGCATCGGCCGCGACCTGCGACGTTGGCGCAGTTGTTGAGGCCTTTCAAGTCTCACGTGCAACAGGGGCAAGCACGAGATTCTGGCAACATCTGCCCATATCTACCCGAAGCCCCAAACCCTTCAGTTCCCTGCAGACTCTGCCACGATCTCCCAGACTGTTCCACATGAGTAGTCGGCTCAGCTTTCGAGCCCGCCTGCCGTCAGCTGGACCAGCTGTTTCAGGACCTGAACACGAAGCGAGGAGTTGGGATTCGGGCTCTCTTCGCACCTGGTGACAGATGACGTCTCATCCTGGCAGGGCTGAGTAAGGGCCTAGGTTACTTGTAGTTACAACTCGATCTCCCACAAAAAAAAGGAGGCGGCCATCCAGATTTCAGACGCGACACATGTTGAGAGCCCTGCTACTCGTACCCTGACAACCCCATCAGGATAAATTCGCCTCAAAGCGCTCGTTGTATCTCGTGGGCGGTCTGTCTCGGATGGAAGACACCAAGACCTGCATGCAGTAAAAAGGAGTGAAGGAAAGAGCATCGAGTTGTCCTGATCATGGCCACGGATTCTGAGATGATGAAGCGAACCATGATCAGGGATACCTTTGTTGAGATGGAAGCACGCAATAAGGAGTCGCCGAAGGTCAGCATGAATATGACCATGAGCCTAGCATAGCCTAACCCACTTGGGGCACAAACTCAAGGGTTCGAGCCTCAACCCCCAAACAAGCCCACCCAAAACTACCCAAAACCCCAAATAATCCCCAAACACCCGGTCTTTTGAGACTCGGGCTGGGGGTTCAGGGAGTGAAGGAGCCAGCCTCCAGCTGTGGCGTGTCGGAGGCTTCCAGGCTCCTGAGTACAGTTTGGCAATTTTTCAAGCCCCCAACTCACTGGCCCAAAACCCAAGGAAATAAAAGTTGAGACTTTCAGAATCGAAAACCTTATAAGAACCCCAAAAGTTGAAGAGTTGAGTTTACAGCCAATAAGCCAAAATGCGCTCTGTCCCTGAACGACGCACTGCTACTGCCTTCCCGTAGACCCTAAACCTAATCTAACCTCCCCCCACGCCATGCCAGGCCAAGGCACCGCAGCTTGTGCTCCAGCTGCATGGCCCGAACCACTGGCGCCCGGGCTTCAGCCTCGATTTTGAAGAGCTCCTGGAACTTGGCTTCGGTGGACACACTTTTCTGAAGGCTTTTTTTGGGGGGGAGTTGGCGGGGGGGTCGAGGCATGCAAGGCGTCTGGGCATCTGGGGCCTTGCAGATTTGAAGCTCTTGCTGTAGAAGCGTAGAACTAACCGGAGCACTTAGCCGACTTAGCCTGGAGCTGAGGCCTCTCTCCTCAAAGTAGAGCTTCTCAAAGTCCACCCAGGTCTTGTCAAAACGGGCAAGCAGCGTCCGCATCTTCTCTAGGTCTGGGATGGCCCCAACGAGGAAGTAGGCATCGACGGTCTCCAGCAACTCGTGGTAGCACCGCTTTAGGAGCTTACCCTTCTGTCGCGCCTCCTGACTGATCCGGATGAGCTTGCCGTTCACGAAGATGGGCTCACAGTCGAAGCAGTTGAAGAGCTCGTAGATGTAAAGCCGGCGACCTGCAAACGTTCAGTTTTCAACCATACCCCTGGAAGATGCATCGACCCCAACTCGACCTGTTCTTTTGCAACCCCGGGTCCTGGACGGTCGAACAGGACCCGATAGTTCGGCGTGAAGTTGTTGCGGTAGCTGCGATCGGTGAGGTCGACTCTCAAGAGTGTAGCAACAATCTCAAGCTGAGCCAGGAATCTTTGTGGCTCCACCTTGGTAAGGACCCAGAAATGCACAACTGCAACTTCCGGAAGGCTATCTCAGATACCCCTGCCTGAGGCTTCCGTGCTTCCCGCAGTTGGTCGAGAGCGGTCTCTATCAATGAGCTCCATGATAGTCCCATTGCTGCAAGTCTTGGAACAGAAGAACAAACAGCTGGAAAGCTGTGGTAAGATAATGGCTTGGGACAAGGATCCAAAAGGTGATGAGAGTTGCCCAGACTCTGCGGAGCTGTCGACAGGCTTAAGGGTAAAAGATGCCGTGCTAAGGGTGAGGCCGGTGAGGCTGCTGGCTTACCAGTCTGACCTATTGACCTTACAACCTGCTGCTTTGGGCCGCTCATCTGCAGAACACCTGGCATAAAATCTCTCTCTCTCTCTCTCTCTCTTGAGCGTGTTCGGCAGTCGTCGGCAGCTATGCAGCCTCCGTGATCTGTATCCCTGCGCGACCCCTGCCCGAGGCCAGCCAGAATCACAGCAATCCCTGAGCTTCGAGCAGTCGACGAGGCGAAAGCAATGCCCACGGATGTTGCCAGTTCTGTCACAACAGCGGCAGCAAGAGCAAGCATGTTAGCGCATGATTTGCTGAAAGCTTGCCGGGTCGTTCCACTGCAAGACAGCTGGCTCAACGCCACTCACTTCTGAGGCTCTTTTCACGCCATGCTCTCTAGCAGGTAAACTGTCAGCATAATGCAGTCTATACTATAATATTATATAATATGTGGTATTATCCCATAGTATGACATACAATAATATACCAAGGGTAGCTATGCAGACTGCGACAGACTCAGTCCCTGGGCCGCGGGCCCCAGAGCCACGGAGTGCACGCGTCCAGCAGGGCTGCAGGGCGTTACAGGTACGCTTTGCTGTGCAACATGAACGAACCTATAGTAGGGATCCTATTATTTAGGGTACTATATTAGGGTCCCCTATTTTTGGGAACCCCCACATCTTCTTCGCAAGGTGCAGGAGCTCCCAAAATGCAGTCTCTTCACCGAAGCTGGCCCCGACTTTTCACAGATTCAGTCTATAAAGGCCCTCAACCTGTTGTGCAGGAAGGATCTACGTTCGAAAAAAAAACACAGCCCAAAGAGGAACGTGCCAAGCTCGGAGCCAAGCCACAACCAGTAGAAGGATCAGATCAGGAAGCCCTCCGAAACCATAATTTCAGAACCTTAAACTCCAAACCCTAAGCCCAAATCCCGACACTATACCACGTAGTCTTAGTGTAATCCTGAAGGGACCCCGAAGCCCAAAACCCCCGAGACTGCTCTTCCTGGCAGGCCTTGGTCTCTGAACAGCGCCTCGTAGCCCTGCGCCGTGCACCAGCAGCTGAGGATGTCGCCACCTGCAGGACTTGCATGTTGTATACAATCATGCAGCAAGGACTACCAGGACCATGGCATGATTGCCACCACCGCCATCGTCATCGTCATCGTCGTCATGGTCATGGTCATGGTCATGGTCGTCGTCAGCATCACCAGCATCATCGGCACCGGTGGGAGCAGCATCGGCATCCGGATCATTATCATGCTCATCATTGCCGTGGCGCCGTCTGCAACAACAGCAACTTCATAACCCCCAGCATCAAAGTGATGACTGTGATGCTGGTGATAACATTGTCAATGACAAGAACACGAAGCAAGCACACTGCCATGAGACCTGCCTTCCTCTGTCGCGTACTGCTTCGTCCAATTCGCGGCAACTGTGATCATGCACTTGTACTGCTCATTCCTTGCCAGGGTCTGGCTCAGCGGTTGGGGCAGGTTCAGATGAAAGGATGACAAAAAGTCGACAGACGCGGCAAGCCCGAAGCCTCGATAAAGAAGAATGCCCTATCCAAATGGCTTCTGGGCCCTGGGCCCTTGAAGGTCAACCTGATCGCCGGCAGGATCGCACTCCGGCACACCGAGGTAGCTGACCCTGGGGAGACACGGTACTCGCAGCACAGCGAACCGAACGATGAAACATAGAAGCCTAAATAGTTCCAAGCATTATCCCTTAGGCCTTAGGGCTCCTATGATAGTTATCGTACAGTATACCCCCCAACCCTCTTCTAATTAATATATAAGACCCCCGTAGAAGTGTGCTGCTAGCTGAACCGAGACCTGTTCCTGGTGACTCTGCTGATGCGTACCGAGTGGACGCACCTTTGCCTATGCAGCGAAATCTACTCCAAAGCAAACGACTATCCGCAAATCCTACAGTCACCTTGGCTGGGGCGGCGGGCTGTGACTTCGCCGTAGCTTTACCCGCCACTGTAGTCACATAGATCAGACACAACCTCAGATCTCGAGGCACTACAGGCTACAGGCAGTCTTCAAGAAGAGGCCAGCAACATGGCGGCGCTCGCTTTCATACTCCTTGTGCCGCCTTTGCTACTCGTAACATCAACAGTGCATGATGTTACGAGAGTTTCAAGTTTCGCTTTGCATGACCATCCGAGGACGTAGCTCTCGTCGGCATGCTGTGCACTGAAAATCCGGGATCGACTGCTTTTTGACTCCTACGGATTCTCACTCGTCAATCCCCCACTGTAGAAGCTCAATCAGGGAAGTAGCTAAAATTTCTGTAAATGGGTACTGGTAGGATTCGATCCTTTTCGTTTTGTCGAAGCTTATGTGATTTTTCGGTCCTGAATACGTACTTCTGGCGGCAGCACGCAAGATGCAAGACTTCGTCACGGGAAAGGCAAGCGCTGGGATGCGGACGAAATGGAGAGGATGATCACGAAGAGCAGCAGCCTCAGCGATGCACTGCTGGCAGCTTCTCGAAATGTTTCTCCTCCATAGAGGTAACAATGTAAGACAGAATAGTAATGGCCTGGAGCATTTGTAGCAGAGACATTGAGCACAAGCTGCGTTTCAGACGAGCGGCACAAGCGCTTGACGCCAAAGGCGGCTGTACCAGGCAATGTCCTGAATAGTGTGATATACTATAATATACAAAATATACTACTACGTAATATGATGCACTGTAGTATGCAACAGTAGACCGTAACATTGTATAACGTACTGATACTTCTATCATGTACTATATATATATATATATATATCCCTGCAAACCGACGGAAGCCAGGCCCCAGGCCAGAGACTCACAACTGAGCAAGGAACATAAAGAACTTGCGCCCACAAGACCGAGGCATACATTCTAGTGATTCTAGTATATTGGTAAAGTATTTTCTGGTATGTTTATGGTATATAATAGTGTGGCATATAATAGTGGTAAAGAGAAGGCGCGCATGAACGACAGCAGTCAAGACACATACGATGCAAGAATCGCGGATAAGACTCTGGGAAACGATCGCCGAAGCACTAGATGTGAGCAAAAGAGCTTGAATCTGCGCCGAAAGCCTTGAGGTCCTAAGCCATTCTCGCACAGCAAAGCTTCCGGTAATGCCGATCGTAGAGCAAAGAACAAAACATTGACACACGGATCGGGTAACCAAGACAGGAGCCGGCCAGCAACCTAACAAGACACACCTTCAACGCACAAGTATCAGAAACCAGCAAACACAATGCTTTAGTGGATCACGCTTCACTTGGCATCGGGGTTTTAGCCGAATCACCTTCGTGCTTCCTGTCGCCTTCCCGTGATGATGATGACAATCATACTGATGGTACCGCTAGCCAGAATAAAACTGTTGCACGAACTTTCCTCCTCCTTGCTGCCACAAACAAAACTGTCTGCACAGATCCTCACCATGGACTTCCCGACCCTGAGTTAACTTTGGCCTTACGGCGATGGTGCATCTGTCAAAACATGTTTTGCTATCCGGGGACGTACGAGAATTTCTCTAAACCCGTCTTGGCTCGTGTCACAGACTATGAACGTCGTGCTCTCCTGGTTCTCCCAGATGATATCCGTCGGCTGCGGCGCCGGAGTGATCCGGATGGAGCTGCCTCGGAACTGAACTGTGTCACAGTGGTGGGCGCGAAGTACGGTTGATGGACAAAATCCTGCATGACCTTATATACCTAAACTATGGGGGTTATGGTACTATACTATACTTGGGTCATGCAGAATTTTGGTCCATCAACCGTATGAACCGCACTTGCACGAACATGTCGTAATACTATCCCAGCCGCAGCAGCAAAAGCAGCAACCACAACATGCGACAACGATTCCAACCTCGACGACAGCGAAAACACCGTCGGTCTTTGACTTTGCAGCCAACATCCGTGGATCCGTGGCTCTTTTGCATCGCTCTCGCGCGGCACGCGATACAACAGGCACCGACCGACTGCAACCTGCACTGCCAAAATACGGCCAATCTTTGGGCTCAAAGCTACAGAAAGCTCCCGGGAACCCTTTCTTCCCAGCTGTGCTTGTTCTGGCAGCTCACAAGGCGATTCTAAACGATCCGCCGGTGGGAGTTCAGGTGCCTTTCGCTACAGAAGCCAGCATCACCGTCCATACATATGCATACATATATAATATATGTAACACTATACATAACTATATGGGACTATATATAACTATGTATAGCTGTGTATATATATATATACACAACTATTTATACATTTATATGCAGCCCACTAGAAGAAGGGCGGTGGTGCAGCAATTATCTTCCTCTGCCAGCTTCTGTTGCTTTTTGCCACGCCATGCACGTTGCATCCGGATTCCCCCCCTTACACCCTAAACCCTAAACCCGAAACCGACCCCAGCTCCCCTTTGGGGAGGGAGGCGCTTGAAGCGTTCACTTCAAGGTTCCATGTTTCCCCCAGCCTTCGGCTCGGCCTGCGCATCGGCCTCCGCCTGGTCGCTACCAACCTGGCTGGACCTCGCCACGGCAGGGACAGGCCAAACAAACCAACTTTGAATCCATCTATCTATCTATCTATCTATCTATCTGTCTATGATTTTCTATCTATCTATCTATCTATCTGTCTGTCTATCTATCTGTCTGTCTATCCATCCATCTGTCTGTCTATCCATCTATCTATCTAGCAATCGATCTGTATATCGGTATCTATATCAAGCCGCCACAAACATCATGGCCAAGCCTCTGCGCGAAGATGATGCTCTTCTTGAACTTGCCAATATCCCTCCGGCCCTGGTGCAGCCGCGAACACTTGAAGAGCATCAGGAAAGCAGGAAATCTCATCGGCTATCCTTGGGCTCCTCTATGCGACAAGCGGATCCGACGAGTCCCACGGTCAAGAACATACAGACAGTAACTGTAGCTTCTCCATTTGCTGCTCTGCTGCCGGATTCCAAGCTCTTTCGTCCACCCTGGCCGCAAGACGAGTCTTGTCTCGGAGTTGTAACAAATAAGGTTTCAGGAATCTGCCTTGGTGCGCACGGCCGACCCAAAAACAAAGGCTGCTGGACTCAGAACAACCTGTTCTTGTCGGGTAGGTGCCCAGGCCTAGATCTAGGGTCGAAATCGCAATTACATCCGGACATACTGAGAGGTGTTTGCGGCTGGAGTTGTAGCCTGTCGCAGCAGCACAAAAGCCTCCCAACTTGCCCAGACGCAGGCAAAACCTCTGAAAGCAAACGGTTCCAGGCTTCAGGCTTTTAGTTGCTATTATACAGTATTAACTATTTACTTTACTATGTTATACTACTTTACTATACTATGTTATGCAATATCTTAAGGAATCGATAATACTTCTAGGTTGGCCCCTCGAAGCCTCTGAAAAATGTTCGTAAATAAGATCCTCTGAAGCCCAATAAGGGTAAATATAAAATGTCCCAAAGGCCTACCTAGACTTATGCGGCTCCAACTCTTCAATGCAACCTCAACCCTCAGTCGACTCATGCGCCTGATGGACATCCCCGGGCGCTCTTTGGCCAGGTCGGAGCCTAAAAGACAGTCATTACTTAAAGGATCATGGGACTTAGTAAGTAAGGTTATAAGTCCCTTAATTGAGGTTATAAGTAGAGTTACCTTAGTTATAACCCTACTTACTAAGTCCCATGATCCTTTAAGTACTACTGCTATAATGTGGATAGTTCTCCAAGTTAGGGTCCCTTTTAGGGTCCTTTTTATAAGGGTGCCGTACTATATTGGGGACCTAGAAAGGGACACTAATTTAGAGAACTATCCATGTAGGGGCCTGAATAATTAGAAGAGGGTTTTGGGGGGTTCCTGATTATCATTATAGTATACTATAACCCTATTCTAATTATTGAGGCCCCCTATATTATTTGCCTTAATCACTAATGTGAAGGTTTAGACAAAGGTGCCATGCACAATGTGAAAACCAGACGGAGGTGGTGGATGGCACTGTTTCACAAGAGAGCGAAGGCAGATGGACCACCAGATGCGCCGCAGAATCACTCCCAAGGCATTGACATGTTGCTGGGCTACTGTGCCCCGGTCTAGATGGCTGAATCTTAGCTGACATGCATTTCAAGTGGCACAGCTGGTCGATCTTGCCTCTTGCCGAGGCTTCGCAGCAAACCATCATCAGAAAAACGATCGGTGCGATGGCGCACATGAGCACGCCAGCCATCAAGGCGATGATGCTCACCCATGTTGCATCTTCCTCCACATGGGCCAACACTGGCTTTGGGAACTTCCTCTGCTGTGTTCGGCTGCTGTGGCATACTAAGGGAACGCTGCGGAGCAGCAAGCCCCAGAGGACTCCACCCTGAAAGCACATCTCCCCGCGAACACGGCTGTGCTCACCTTCCTGCGTCTGGTTGCTGGTGGATTTAGTTGTGGCAAAGGCGGTGAAAGACCCCCAAGTCTTGTCCAGACCTGTATCCTCGCCAAGCAGCTGTGAGTGTCATGAAGGCCAGCACAAAGACGAGAAAGCAGATTCCGCTCCACACAACGAGGAAGATGCCTGCCATGCAGGCAGACTGCTAACAGACGGTCATAGAATCTCTTGCTCGCACCAGCATGGGGACATGGGCTCCGATGTAAGACTCAGGCGGAGTTCTATCAAAATCTAAGAAGAAAACACCATCCAGGCTGAGGCGAGCTTTAGGCAGGAATTGGCTAGCGTGCCGGTGAAAGGACTCGGATGGTCGGAGATGTTTTGGATTTATTGCGGCTTGTTTCACACACAGCAAGAAAAAATCAGGAGAGCCAAGACAAACAGACTGCGAACAGGCTGGGACCGATAAACAGCCCAAGACAAGCCTCCAAAGAGCTTCGTGAGCTGCGTCTTCCGGAAGGTCTGCAAAAGCCGTGTCACCTCCGCTACCCAAGCAGTCCTTGGCTTTAGAGTCCGTGCTTCACAGTTTGAGGAGCGAGGGCGGATCCCTGACCCCAACAAGGGCATCCAGCTTGCGAACATGCAAAAAGCTCTAGCTCAACTCTGACTCATCTTCATCATCGTTTTCTTTCCCAGGCTCCACGTTTCCAGGGGGACGCCTTGGAGCACCTCCGGCTTCTCTTGCGGCACCGTCCAGGCGCTACATAATGGATCCTCACAGGAGCGGAACCAGCCTGCGCTCACACTCCATGCGTGCACATATGCGCAGCTCTCTGAATTCGGGTGCTGTTTTAGGTCCCCAATATAGTAGGGCACCTTAAAAGAGCACTCCAAAAGGGACCCTAATTTAGAGAGCACTACCCATATGTCATAGTAGTCTGAGTATCTGCATACATTGTCTCTGGTGCGGCAAAGACACAGCTGTCGAAGCGCAATGCCAAGGTTTAAGCTCAGGTTTCAAGTGTCTGAAGCCTCTTCGGCCCGGCTAAAGGGAGGCCTCCGGTCCGGTAGAGCTTTATATTTATGACATGTTAAGACAAGATCGGTTGTTTTTGAGTGCAAAAGCGGGTTTTTAAGTGCAGCAACCCCTGATTTCGCTCAGAATCTGAGTGCGCACGCGCTTACCAAAGTGCGCGGCTCAAGGATACCCTCCTGTCTCAACAGGAACAGGCTTTCACTCAAGGCAAACGCGTGCCTCAGACACTCACCAAGATCGGGTTTAGGGTTTGGGGTTTACGGGTTAAGGGGGCATGGTATGGCACAGCAAGGGCCGTCCTCGATGACCAAGCGGTACTCTGCGCTCTGGTCTCCCATGGCCAGCACGGAAATGATGCCGAAACAGCTGCAGCTCAGCTTCAGTCGCTTCTGGAAGGCATGGTTTGGGCTTAACGGCTTAGCTGCATGAACACGGAAACTGCTCTCAATTCAGTTGATAAGGGCATCTCCTCTCACTCGTGGCAACTTTTTCCTCCAGAGCGCTCGCGGATGTCTTTCTGGAATGTAGATCGCTTGCGGGATGCTTCCGAGGAAGTCGCCCGGTCCCGGCGGAGGGTACGTCGATCTGCGAAGGCCCTGACACGGTCAGCGGCAAGCCACGAAGGCGGTCACAGGGCTTAGGAACATGGAAAGCCTCGTCAGTGCAAATGGTCGAGGTCATGGTGAAGCTGAAGCTTCCCGCTAGGGAGGCTATGTCCGCATCCATCAGATTTCGACCAAAATTTCAAAACAACTTATGGAAAAGGTGCCGGCGAAAATTTTGACGTTTGGCCGGAGGAAAAGGCAGTGCGATGCTTGGCAGCACGACCTAACCGATGTCAGGAACATGTCCTAGCCTCAGACAGTCCTGAAATGCTTCAACCCTAGCTACCGCATGCAAGCGCGGAACGCGCGCGAAAGGGGAGCGTGCCGGGCTCGAATTAGGAGACTCAACCTCCGGCAGGAGGATTGTGGCTTGTGGACTAAGGGATTAAGGACCCTGAAAGCACCAACAGAAGGTTGGGATATCACAGAGTCTCCCTCTTAACGCAGGCCAAGCAGGAAAGGATCTAACTTACACTTGGGTCTCCGGTCGGTGATCAGACTAAGCACAAAGCCCAACCTGGCGAAAACAAGAAGACCCGAACAGCAATCCGCTGTTGCAGAGCCTTCGAAACGATAAGACGATAAGCTAGTCAGAGACTTCCAAGGTCCTCATATGGCCATCATCACTTCGGGGCCATCCGAGACCT